TTTTTGTTATCTTCTTTCGTTTCGGGTGGCTTACCTCTGTTGACTATCATTGTCCTGATTTGTAACTTATGCTTGGTACTATCGACCTGGGTGGTCAAATTACTTTGTGTTAAGCTCAGGATGGTGGTTTATACAATATTGGAAGACTGGTTTGAAATTGCTTATTGTTGCTTTGTTCTCTTATGGTTTTCTTTCCTTTTGTTTTTCACTTTTTAAGCATTTTTTTCCAAATTATTATATTGTGTTGTCGAGGTAATGTGGTTTTCAGTTTGAAGAATTGTTTCTTGATAGGCACGTATGTTTTTCTGCTTTGCTTGATATTTGGGTGTGAGCTTTATTAGCATCTACAGAGTGCCACTGACTGAGTTTGGTACCAAAAAAAGCAACTAAGTTTGTCAAAATATACGAGTAATAAGTTATTCATCCTTATTACTTTTCTCACAAATGAGAGCTTGGCTCCCATTCTTTTTAGGTTTTCTTGCGCTTAAGTAAAACTACTCATGTATTCTTAATGACCAACGTAGTAGTTATCAGAAATCTAGTAGTGCGATTTAGGGTTCAAAGAATGGTTTCTTGGCTGTATTTAATAGCAAATGCCTCTGGTTGATCCTCTTATCTTTATTTGTCTGACTATATTATCTTCAGATGAATTATGTATTCTATATCACGCCTTTGCATCAGATGACTGCCTTAAGTTTACTGCTTCAGTTTTTCATGGCATTGTATTTACATAAATCTCACTTTTTGGATACTTATCAGATGACCCAATGCCCAGTTCTACAAACGGAGGGTTTCATGACCATAGCCAACCTCAGTGACAATCAAATGAGGACACGCATTCCATTTGATGGAATTAACTTTGTAGATATTTTTTCAGATGACCAAGTGCATTGCATGTCTGGTTGGAGGAACTGGAACTGTGCATACATTCTGCCTTTTTACAATAAAAAATTTCATATCAAGAGGAGATCTATCTATGACATGGCATTGTGTGTATAGTTAGCATTCTTTTCACGATTTCTTGTAGGGATTGATTACATGCTTATTGATCTGCCAAGGATTTTTAAATGCAGGAGTTGTGTAGGAGATAATGCATATTAAATGTTTATAGAGATTCTTTTCACAATTTACCATTGATTCTTGTTTTATGGAGAGGAAATTATGTAATGTAGTTCACAGAGGGAAATCTTTTTAAAATAAAACATTATGGTGCTCTGCCATTTTTAATTTATTATTTAATTAATTATATGTGACTTTTCTATCATTTGTGTGTTTATATATATATATATATATATATGTATAAACCTTTGAAAAAAAGTTTAAAAATGCATAGTATGACTTTAAACATGTTTAAAAAGAATATAAAAATGCTTGAAAAATTTTTAATAAATTTTTAAAAATCAGAATAAATAATTAAGAAAATTAAAAATTCTTAAAAAATATAAAAAATTTATCAAAATGTTTAAAAAATCTATTAAAAACTTTAAATATCATTAAAAAGGACCTTGAAAATGTTTAAAAATAAATGAAAAAAGCTTTGAAAATGTTTCAAAAGGCTTTAAAAATCTTAAAAAAATAAATTAAGTCTTTAAAAATTTTTAGAATTTTTTTAAAATCTTTCAAAGCATCATAAAAATCCTTAAAATGTGGTTTAAAAAATGTAGGTTCTGGGTTTCGAGTCGGGTTCGGGGTTCAAGGTTAGGGGTTTGGGGTCCGGCTTCGGGGTTCAAGGGTCGTGGTCGAGGTTCGGGGTTTGGGGTTGGGGGTTGGGGTTCGAGAGTTCGGGGCTCGGGGTCGAGGGTCGGGGGTTGGGAGTCAGGTTCGGGGTTCGGGTTTGGGTTCGAGGTTCAGGTTCGGGTTCGAGAGTCGGGGTTTGAGGTTTCGGTTTGAGGTTTAGGGTTTTTTTTTAAATTAGAAATTCTCACAGGGCTTAGTTACCTTGTAATCATTTTATTAATAATTAGAAACAAGGTACAAAAAGGAGGGAGACAGAAAACGAACCTCCAAAATTACATGAATATGTGAAACTGTCTTGAGAACACTTAGAGAAGGAACTACTGATCTATGTGCATAACTATTGATGGTACAATAAATCAGAGAATCCTTACTATTACAATGAACTGAGAATGAAAATGAATTTTAAAGAAGCATAAATTATAAATTAGGAGTAATACTCCTTTACAATTATTTGAATCTAACATAGGGTAAATTGAGTCTGTCTAACGTAAGCATACCATGTAATTCTCCTTGTGCTTCGGTGAAATCACAAAGATTCTGATTATTGTGTCCTTCATTTGACATGAAATCTGCTGGTTGGTTACCTTCTCGAGGAATGTGAGAAATTCGAAAAGAAAGACTGTGTAGACACTCTTATCGCCTTTATCAGATAACGAATATCATGAGATCCTTTTGAGATTGCTGAATCATCTGGACTACCACCAGCGCACCCATTTCTATCCATAGCCTATCAATGTTTCATTCTTTACATAAAAGTAACCCTCGTAGTAGTGCATGTAGCTCCGCTTGTAATGAATTACGAGGGCCAATGTTTTCTGAGAATCAAAGATAAGCTTACTTGAATGATCCGGAGAACACCTCCATTTGTTGCAGATCGATTAGTCTTGGAGCTGCCATATACATTCAACTTATTTCACCAATAAATGGTTTTTTCCAAAATATAATTTGGGAAAGGGGGGGGGGGGGGGGGGGGAGCTGATATTTGGAGAAAATTTGAGTCCCCATAAAGTAGCTATGTCAAAATCACCTTTCCACTGCCATCGTTTCAAAAGATCACCTGCATGTAACTGTCGTAACAGCCTCATAATACACCATATTACTCGGTCAGCATATACTCCCAGGTTCCTGTGTTTTGCATCATTTCTTTCTAACCATAAAAACCAGCATATGAATATGGGGATTAAAACACGAATATGCCCCTTTTTAACAAAATCACCAGAAAAATACCATGTCCAGATAATTTGGGAAACATGCTGAGGGTTAGAGATATAGGTTTGAAAGAGTTTTGAGAAAAAATGCCAAACCTGTGTTGCCACTGGATTCTCTAATAGAACATGTGCTAAAGATCCCTCAAAATTACAACACACATTTAGAAGCAAGTGAATACCTTTATCCTTCATTCTCAGTTCAAACCCTAAACCCAATTATTGATAACTCTCCAGATGAACAAGGAAACAGTCAGCGGAATGCTTTGATGCCATATTAAGGAACACACAACATATGGAGATTGTCGCTATCTAATAGCATCCCATGCACTCCAAGTAGAAAATTATCCATGAGACGTTAGACCCCAATAAGCTATATCTTCACGTGAATTGTCAAAAGGAATCTGCAATATCTGATTAATTAGATCCGTAGGCAAGTATAATCTCAAAGTGTCCACATCCCATGTATCACCATTATAAAATTTATTAACAGGGGACATATCATTTTGAAAAGAGGGGAATAATGTTACCAAAGGTAGGTCATCCATCCAACAATCGTGCTAGAAGAAAATTTCCCCTTTACCTATCCTCCATCGAGTGTGCTGGATTGCCACTTTCTTACCTCTCACCATCTTTTTCCAAACTGAAGAATCATGAAGTTTTGGTTGAACGTTGTGAGGTATTCGGCCTAGGCAGTATTTTGATTTCAGAAATTTGGTCCATAGGCTGTTGCATGTTTGAAATCTTCACCATAGTTTCACCGTATACGCATCAAAAACATCTGACAAACTTCTTATATCAAGACCCTCTTCAGAGCATGGGAAAGTTATTTTCGATCACGTAGCCCAATGCATTTTCCTAATTTCACCGGAGTCACCCCAGAGGAAACTATTAAATAGCCTTTCTATCTTCTCAATCACTATCATTGGAGGTTTGAGCACTTGGAGCAAATACATTGGAAGTGAAGAGAGAACACTTCGTAGAAGTGTAATCCGACCCCCAGTTGATAAGACCTCATTCTCTTAACCTGAAATACGATCTCGAATTTTGGTGATCAAGGAATCAAACAAAATTACCTTTTTAGATCCTTTATATAAAGGTACTCCGAGATAGGTGACCGAGAGTGTTTTGTGAAGAAATCCCGTGGCATGTGATATGATTTGTCTCCTTGATAGTGCACATCCGTTAGCTGTGATAAAACAGCTTTTCTGGTGATTGACCTACTGTCTAGACACCTATTCATATTCATGTAAGAAAGATAGAATTCGCTGCAAGGATGAGTAGCAACCATTAGTGAAAATAACGATATCATCTGTAAAAGCCAAGTGACTAATGGGAATGTGGCAGCCTGATAAATACTGTAAGGAATTATAACGGTTGAATAATTTAACCCTAAACCCTCGACAAATAATCTGCAGCCAGGATAAACAAGAGGGGAAAGATGGAGTCTCCTTGTCGCAACCCTCTTTCAGATTTACAATAACCCACTAGCGATCCATTAATAAGAAGGGAAAACTAGCAATTAGCAATGCATGTTTTGATCATACTAATCCATTGTGTATTAAATCTGAAATGCTCCATCATTAAATAAATGAGATCCCAGTTCAGCCGATCATAAGCTTTAGCCATATCAAGTTTTAAAACCACGTTACCTCCCCGTGATTTAGCATCGATTTTGCTGATGAGTTTTTGAGCCAATAAGATATTGTCACTGATAAGCCGATCATTGACAAAGCCACTCTGATTTTCTAATATTAAGGATGGGAGAATCTTGGACAATCGGCTAGCCAAGAGTTTAGTTACTATCTTATTGAAGACCGTACATAAACTGATGGGGCGGTAGTTACTCCATTGACAAGCATTTGGCTTTTTAGGCAGTAGAACTAGTGTTGTTGAAGTGATGCCTCGAGGAAATGGGGACCCTTTGAAAAAATCCAATACTGCTTGAAAGAGGTCATGTTTAATTATATCCCAACAATGCTGGTAAAATAAAGAAGAAAAGCCATCTGGACCAGCTACGTTATCTTTGTTAATATTAAAGACCACTTCCTTAACTTCCTAGAGTGATGGGGCTGCACATAGAAATTCATTTTCAGTGGTGGAGACAATCTGAGGAATAAGAGATGAGTCAAACCTGGACATATCACACTTTTCAGCCTTCAACAAATTTTGGAAGAATTCTATGGCAGAATTTTGTATTGAGCTGGGGTCTTCAACAGCATTTTTTTCTTGATCATGTATCTAGAATATGTGGCTACGCACTCTTTTTTTACGCATCATCATGTGAAAAAAATTGGTGTTGCGTTCTCCCTCAACTAACCATCTAACGCCAGACTTTTGTTACCAAAATATCTCTTCAATACTCAATTGGCGGTTTAGTTTAGCATAGGCTTTATGCATGAGGTTTTGGTTACATGGAAAAGGATCCTACTGAAACATCAACTCCCTCTCTTCAGCCTCATTTTCTGCTAGCTTAAGGTTGTGGAATATATCACCAAATACCTGTTTGTTCCACCATTTTAAGTCTCTTTTTAGCCTTTGTTGTTTACACCAAAAGCCTAACAATCCTCAGGTTTGCATTGGCGCTGTCCAGCTTCATTTTACAAAGGAAAGAAAATCATGGTGTTTGGTCCACGCATGAAGGAATCTAAAAGTAGAAACCCCTTGTGAGCTGCATTGGAACATGAAATCAAGAGGGGGCAAGGGTCCGATCCATCCCTATTCAAGTGCTGTACTCTAGTATAGGAAAAACACTTTGCCCACTCTTGGTTATACACCATTCTATCCAAGCATTGAAACATGTGATTGTTGGTCCAAGTGAAATTCTTTCCTTTAAAACTAGCATCCCTCAACCCACAGTCCAGTAACATTGTTGCAAAATCCTCCATTGAATCACCATGAGGGAGGCAGTCATGCAG